CTGTATGGACTATTATTATGGACTATGAACTACTATGGACTATAATTATGGACTGTGGACTATTAATATGCTCATGTATATGATTTGAGATGATTATGGCATATATTTGTATGTTTAAACATGTTGTATTGAGGTTAAATATTTATGTCATATTTGTGTATGGATTGCATCAAAAAATAGGGGAAATTATGTCAAAATTTTCTACCTAAAGTACATTTGTGCAGTACACCTATAGCATCTAGCCTTTACAGTGATTCATCATGTCACCATCGAATATGCTTTTCAGTGTCCTTCAAAATAGTGATTGAAGTCCAAATTCAAATAGGCTTTTTAGTCATGGAATCTAGGCTCTCTAGAGTCCTTCGATGTAGGCTTTTCAGTTATTCTGAGTAGACTTTCTAGGAGCATTTACAACACAATAAAACGGCTTGCAAACCTGCCTCCGCCTATATATATGTGTTCTAGGATACATTGTTAACCAAAAGCAAAACCAAACTAGTATTTGATTTCATTAGAGTAGGAATGTTTGGAGGGTCATCTAGAGGAAAGGGTTTTGGGAGTGGGAGAGGAAAGGGGGAGATGAAGGGAACTCCCATTGTGTGGGAGAGGTCTCTTGGTCCTGATTTCTTTGAGGAACCAGTGTATCAGTTTCCCCACGAGAGCAAGAGTGATTTCACTAAAGAGTGCCCTCTCAGAGGATACGATAACCGGAAAGAAGATTGGCCAAAATGCATGCATGGTGAGGACTGCTTAGTGTAGATGTTCACCAAGGGGATCGACGGAGGTCGTCGCATCTTCAAATGCCTGCGAGCATGGGTAATTGCTATTACATTTCGTTTGTTAAATATGTTTCTCGAATACCCTTACAACTCACAGGACATACTTATTGTAGTCTTCCGAGTTCAAAGAAAACTATGGGTTCACTAGGTTGGTCGATCCTTGACTAATTTATCCGCATCAGCAGTACATCTACTACCTGCAGGACCTTATCTTTGATCTACAAAGAGAAGTTAGTAGTGGTTACAAGGAAGACGAAGACGACAACAACAACAATGGTGCAGGTTCACAGGAGGCACTCTGTAATGATCCATATTACACCTGCCCTAATCACAAGAACAAGGGGCCTCCGCCGCCACCCCCACCCCCACCACCACCACCACCAACAATAGGAGGCTACTGTGGAGAAGGTGCAACACAATTTACTATGTGGCCACACTACTAGGATAACCCTATCTTATTCACATGGCACATCCATGTGCTTATTGTTTGGTTTAATTACCTAAGGCATGCTATGTTTAGTTGAAGGAACTATGTACCTTTGTTTGGTACATGTCCTCACATGCCATTTCGTGTGCTTGTTGTTCGCTTCAATTACCTAAGGTATGTTAGGTTTAGTTCAAGACCTCTGTACCCTAGTTTGGCACATGTTCTCACATGCTATTTCATGTGTTGTGCGTGTTGAATTATATAATGTCCTACTTCGTTAGGTTTTATTTGTAGTACGTGATCTCATTTTATTACGTCCGCAATATTAAACTGAATATTATAACCATAGATAATGAAAACAACAACACAATGAAAAGTCCAATACTATGGCACATTAAACAACACAATAATACTAGAAGTACATGCTGACAAACTAAATAACGCAGTAGATGACCTAAGTATGCCCATACTTAAAGTGCATTACATGATAACACAATGAAAAGTCCAACAATAAACAACATTGTTGAAAGGATCTAAACAATGCTTAGAGGAGGGTGAATAGGCGTATCTAAAAATTTCTACGTAATCTCAAAGTCAAATGTTAGTGACAGTCAGAAGTCCCGACAGTTTGGGGTGGAACTTCTGGCACCCGGAAGTTCCGACGCAAAAAGTCAGGAGTTCCGGCACCTACGAGAATTGCACTATAAGTGCTAAAACAAACTTTGAGTGAAAGATATCTTACAACTCCACTCCCTAGTGGTAAGGTGAAGTGTTGGGGTTGCTTATTTGATGCCAGAAGGTCACCACTTCATAGATCGAGTCCAACCCCTAAGAGAAGAGTTAGGGAGAAAAACAAACCAACAAGAATAAATATGATATCACAAATCACAACAACAACAAGCATGTGGGACACAAGAATTTATTCTGAGGTTCGGCAACCCCACAAAGGAGCTCCTACATCCTTGTTGTTGAGGTGACCACAAAGGTCGGAGTCTCTTCCACCTCCTTGCCTCTCTCAAAGCAACCACAAAGGTTACTTGAGCTTTCCACTAAGAAATCAAGGGTAATACAAGCTTCCCAAGTCTCTTCCACAAGATGGAAGTTTTTGGGCGATGCCTAGTCGTCTAGGGTTCTAAGAACCCAAGAATAATAGACGCAAATCCAACCAGCTTGATGAACAAATAAAGTGCTCAAGCTTGCCAAAGTGATTCTCTCACTCAATCCACTCTTCTTTCACTCAAAACCCTATGGGAATCGAAGATTGGAGCAAAGAGGAGAGGAGAGTGGTGCCTTGAATGCTTGTGAGCTATTTTGGATGAAGGTTGGTGAACAATGAATGAGTAGTCTAGTTAGAAGAGAGGAGAGAGCTATTTATACTCATAGGCAAATCCAACCGTTCAGATCTGAGTTGGAAGTTCCGACATAGATCGCCAGAACTTCCGGCCCTTCTACAAAACACTGTTCAAGGTGCAGTCAAAGATGGTCAACACAGCCAGAGCCGAAACTCCCGGCGGAATACCAAAACTTCCAGCAGTCGGGACTCCCGACGCACAGCCGAGCCAGGGGGCTAAGTCCTAGGGCAACGGGACTTCCGGCGAGAGCCGGGACTTTCGGCACCCGAAACTCCCGACTCTAGTCGGGACTTCCGACGGACGAAGGTGCGCAGGCGGGCTGGAGGCTAAGTCAGCAAGCGCCGGGACTTCCGGCACCGAATGTCAGGACTTTTGACTCCCGGAACTCCTGGCTCAAGCCGGGACTTCCGGCTACCAAAAATCCATAAACTATATCTAAGTGTCCATTAGGTGATTTTATGTCTCTCTTTAGATTTTATTTTTATACTTGAGCACTCTATCTTCCTCAGACCACCTAAACTTGCATCCCTCTTTATAGTACGGCATACCTAAACCCAAAACAGAATAAAAATGCTTTTAAGAGCGCTTTGGGTTCATCCGCCTTTTGCACTTTAAGAATTGAGGGATACCATTTCATCTTAAATCAACTCTTTGAAACTTTCAAGAGATTAAAGCTGTAATATATCTCATTAAGATCACATTAGTCCCTAATTTGAATGTCATCAATACACCAAAACCCTCATAGGGGACAAATGCACTTTCAATTGTTCATGAATAAACCATAAAACTAGCAAGTCATGAAGACCACTAAGTGCAACAAGGTCACTTTTTCTTCCTCAGGGCATCAGGATTTTCCTCCATCACTGCTTTCGCTCGGCGTGCACGCTCAAGATTCTTCTCGCTCTCCTCCCTATACGCAGCAACACGCCTCCTTTTCTCCTCTTTCTTGTGCTCTATTTCTGCAGTCTCCTCTCTGCGTCTCTTCTTCATCATCTCCTTGTCCTCTGCCTCCCACTGCAACAGTTCTATATCTATTTCTTGTCTTCAGGCTTGATCTCAGTGTCGATCCACTGCTCAAAATCACAGAGTAGTGGAGGGGTCTGCAACAAATATAATTGTTACAAAACAAAAAATCATGCAAGATTTCATATGATAGAAAATAATTATTACACAACATCAATTTCTCACCATCTTGTTAAGCGGCGCTGACGAAGTGTAGGCTCAAACGCAAAATTAGAACACATCCAATACCTCTGCCTATACGTGTCCTCTTCATCGGACTTGGCTACCTTGCAATGATCACCGCAAACATGGGCACCAGAACCCCACTAGGCAGAGGCAATGGGTCGAAGACATTTCTGGTCATCCGTCCATAACTAAAATTTAACCAATTTCGTTATAAGAACCGAAAGCAATTAACATTAAACCCTAAACCTAGGGTTTTCTATTTGATCCACAACAATGAACCCATAATATAACAACATGCGCTGAGGTTACCTTGGTTTGCTAGTTTTCCACGCCTTGGCATCCTATGGTTGTATAATATAAATATTAAAAATTACATAAAACCCTAAGTAATGATGATTCTTAGGTTGAAAAATCCGACTAATATATACCGAATCGATGCAAAAAAAAACTAGGAGAAGAGAGAGGATAACTTGCTCTCGAAGATCTACGGATCAAATCAAAGTTTCCAAGGTCCAATAAGCCGAGTCGTGAGGTAGGGCGAAGTGGGAAGAACAAAAACCCGAGAGGGAGGAGAAAGAAGAGGAAGAATCCTCGGCCAGAAAGGTTGGGCGTTGCATTAAGGCCCCGTTTGGTAGGGCTTCACTTCACTAGTGAAGCAATTTTTTTTGCTTCAGCTCCACGAACAGTTCCACCAGTGGAGCTGAAGCGGTTTTGGTAAACCGTTTGGGAAAATAGCTTCCCTGTGAGAGCATGTTTTTAAGGGCTTCACCAGTGAAGCTATTTCATTTTACCCCGTTTGGCAGAAAACGGCTTCAAACGGCTCCTGAAGCTGGTGGAGAAGCCCTACCAAACGGGGCCTAAAATACCACATCGACGCCAATAATCCCGACGCCAAGCTCGGCGCCAATAATCCCGACGCCAATGATCTCGACGCCGAGGTGGCTGCCATGTCACCGCCACGTCTGCGTCGACGCCGACGTGGCCGAGGAAGCTCGGCGCCAAACTCTGGCGCCGAGACGTATAATCTCGGCGTCAATTACTATGGCGCCGAACTGAAGGTCTAGATTTTGAAATCACACCTTCGTATGCATATTTGTGACAAACTTTAAAAAAGAAAGAAAAAAAAAATCGGTCCCACTGGGGGCACGACCGCACGGCCGTAATTAGCCGTCGCGCCTCCCGGCCGTCAGTTCCGTCGCGATTTGCGCGCTGAGTGAGGTGGCATGGATCAAAACACCGAAGCGGCCGTAGAGTATGGCCTGTGAGGCCCGTGGCACTCAAAGCAGTCTCTTCCATGACCTGTGGGACCGTTTGAACGTGGTCCCGACGCGGGTGAGGTGGGGTAGGGTGTGCATGCCGTGGGGAATGGACCACGGTGGTTAAGTGGGCCTCGTTTGCCTCGTGTGTGTGTGCATTTGGATGTACTGGCAAAGGTAAAATTTTGCTTTAATCTGGTGCCAAGCATGTAAATTTGACAAAAAAACAAACCTGAAAAATTAGGACCGACCATTTCCCATGTGCCAGAACGCACCTCAGATGCACTTTCGAGACACATCACCTAAGAAAAGAACAACACGAGCACATAAGTGTTCCATGGTCCATTGGTCCTGCGCAGCAACCACCAACAAATTGAATGATGAAATGCAGGCATGCAAGCACTGCTTACTACTAGTTAGTTGAGACGTCAGTTTTCGTTGCAGCTGACGCATCATGCTCACTCACATTGGACAATATCCTCACAACAAAGAATCACTATATAGATAATAATCATCACATAGAAAAACAGGGGAAGATCTCGATTTATGTCTCCAAGGCAACAGTTTTATCCATTATTATTACAGGAAAAAATTGCGCTAACTAACCTATAATAATTTCCACGTGGCTGGTCAAAATCATCCACACCGCGGCTACCAACCCCAGCCGTGCCTCTGCCTCTCGCAGCACGGCACCCTCGAGTCTCTAGTCCCATACCCTCACCTCCGCCCGTGGCCCCGGGCGGTACCCTCACCGTCGGGCCCACCTCGCCCCCTCCGCCCCGGGATTTTTAACTTTTTGCCATCCTTACGGATGACACTCATTCGTTTGCCACTTTTATATGCGCTCCTACACAATTGCCATCGCAAAAAGTAAACCTCCTATGTTTTTGCCATTTTTGTTGACATGGCACGCCAGGTGGGCACGCCAGCGTGGCAGTGAGCCTGAGAAGGCCTACAAAGCATGCGAAATGACCTATTTACCCATGTTGCTTCTCTCTCTCTACTCGTTGACGCATGGGCCCCATATGTCAGCTTTGTCTTCAACCTCCAGCCATGGATGGGAGCCGGGCACCTCCAGCTTCATCTCACACCTCCAGCACTTGGATGGGAGCCAGGCACCTCCAGCTTCGTCATCCCTCCATGGCTGCCGAGCAGCCGAGGACGACGAGCAAGGCACCGCCCGCGAAGTCGATGGAGGAGTTCTTGCGGCAAAGAGGGGCTAGTGGCAGCCAGCCACGGGTAGAAGCGAGGCTCTCCGGCGAAGTGCTTCGGTTGAGGTGGAAGACGCCACTACGGCCATGGATTGGCGCTGAGATGCAGATAGGCAGCCGCGGCTGGTCCTTGCGGCGCCAACGAAGGAGACAGGGAGGCGAGAGCTGCTGTGTATGCGGAGATCGGTGAGCTCGACCTCGGGACGACAATGGCGGCGACTGCGGTGGTTCACGGCGATGGGGCGGGGGTTGCCGAACGACGAGTAGCGAGGTGAAGTCGTCGTGCCACTGCGAACTCGCAGAGCCCGTTGGGAGTAGCAGAGACGGCTGGATGGGGGAGATCGATGGTGACGATGGAGCTCCAGTCATGGCCACAGCTGAAAGGTCCTAATATGGCTAGAGGGGGGGTGAATAGCCTATTTAAAAACTACAAATCAACTAGAGCAATTTGATTAGTAAAACAAATAGCGAAATGCAAACTTGCTCTAGCTCTACAAGGGTTGCAAGCCACCTATCCAACAATTCTAGTTGCAAAGATCTATTTGCACACAATCTACTTGACCACTACTCACTAAGAGCTCTCACGAATGCGACACTAAAGAGCTCCACTAGATATGTTTAAAGCACAAGGCAAGCTCTCAATTCTAATTACACTAAAGAGCTTGCTATATCTAGTTTGCGAAAATGTAAATGAGTAAGTGAGACGATTATACCGCCGGGTCGTGGAGTGAACCAATTCACGATGAATATATATAGACAATCACCGGGAGAATGCAAATGACAAGAGACAACCGATTTTTCTCCCGAGGTTCACGTGCTTGCCAACACGCTAGTCCCCGTTGTGTCGACCAACACTTGGTGGTTCGGCGGCTAAGAGGTGTTTCACAAACCTCGTCCACACGATAGGACACCGCAAGAACCGACCCACAAGTGAGGTAACTCAATGACATGAGCAATTTACTAGAGTTACCTTTCGGCACTCCGCCGGGGAAGGTACAACTCCCCTCACAATCACCGAAGGCGGCCACGAACAATCACCAACTCGTGCCGATCCTTCACCGCTGCTCCAACCGTCTAGGTGGTGGCAACCACCAAGAGAAACAAGCGAAATCCGCAGCGCAACACGAATACCAAGTGCCACTAGATGCAATCACTCAAGCAATGCACTTGGATTCTCTCCCAATCTCACAATGATGATGGATCAATGATGGAGATGAGTGGGAGGACTTTGGCTAAGCTCACAAGGTTGCTATGTCAATGAAAATGTGCAAGAGACATCCCTTGAGCCGGCCATGGGGCTATAAATAGAGCCCCCATCAAATAGAGCCGTTGTACCCCTTCACTGGGCAAAACACGTTCTGACCGGACGCTCCGGTCATACCGATCGGACGCTGGCCCTCAGCGTCCGGTCGCCCGATGGACGCCACGCGTCACCAGCTTCAAACGCTGTTCGTCATATTTCAACGGCTACGAAGCTGACCGGACGCTCCGATCAAAACTGATCGGACGCTGAAGCCCCAGCGTCCGGTCGTTTCCAGTAAGCTCCCCGAAGCATGTTTTTTCGACCAGACGCGTCCGGTCCACCTTGACCGGACGTAGACCAGCGTCCGGTGCTCAACCCTACCCACTGTGCCGTCTGACAGCTCGACCGGACGCAGCCTTTCAGCGTCCGGTCGCTGAGTGACCCAGCATCCGGTCAGTAGACCGACGCCAGCATCATTTCGACCAACTCCATTTCAACTCTAACTTCTTCACCCTTGCTCAAATATGCCAACCACCAAGAATTTTGCATCCGGCGCAATAGAAAATAGACATTTCATTTTTCCAAAAGCGCCGAATCCTGCCTCGCAAGCTCGGCGGGAGGGAGAGAGGGACCCAAACCCATCTCAACCCTGCAAACACCTTGTGCACATGTGTTAGCATATTTTCACAAATATTTTCAAGGGTGTTAGCACTCCACTAGATCCTAAATACATATGCAATGAGTTAGAGCATCTAGTGGCACTTTGATAACCGCATTTCGATACGAGTTACACTCCTCTTAATAGTACGGCTATCTATCCTAAATGTGATCACACTCACTAAGTGTCTTGATCACTAAAACAAAATGGCTCCTACATTTTATACCTTTGCCTTGAGCCTTTTGTTTTTCTCTTTCTTCTTTTCCAAGTTCAAGCATTTGATCATCACCATGCTATCACCATTGTCATGATCTTCGTCATTGCTTCATCACTTGGAGTAGTGCTACCTATCTCATAATCATCTTGATAAACTAGGTTAGTACTTAGGGTTTCATCAATTAACCAAAACCAAACTAGAGCTTTCAACAGCTCCGTGCAAGCTCCAGCTTCTACCCCACCTCCGTGGAAGCTGCAAACAGGAGCAAGCGCAGGGAGCTTTTATGAGGCAGCAACTCTGTAGCAGCACGACCTAAGTGCCAGCGCGCCGCTCCTCCTCTCTCCGCCGCTAGAGCCCGCTTGCCATCGAGTCGCTCGGCTTTGGGTGATGGCTGGAGGTTGAAGACAAAGCTGACGTGTGGGGCCCACGCGTCAGCGAGTAGAGAGAGAAGTAACAGGGGTAAATAGGTCATTTCGCATGCTATGTAGGTCTTCTCATGCTCACTACCACGCTGACGTACTCATCTGGCGTGCCATGGCAGCAAAAATAATATAAACTTAGAAAAATGACAATCGTGGAAGAACGCGTATAAAAATGGAACGAAGCGGTCTGATCCGTAACCATGACAAAAAGTTAAAAATCCCCTCCGCCCCGCCCCCACAAGGCCACAAACAGTCGGCCGCGCCCCGCGCCCAGACACGCACGAGCGCACGCAGGCAGGCAGAGGAGGGGGGCCGCGCGAGCTCTGCGCGAAGCGAGGCGTGGTGGTGGGGCGGCGAGGGAAGCGAGGCCGGGCGGGGTCGGCGGCCGCCTCCGCTGACTCGGCGGGAGCGGACCGGTGCGGGAGGTGCGCGGCGCGGGGGAACTGACTGTCCGGGTACCGAAAGGTCGGCACCACGGCGGCCGCGGCGGAGGCCAACGGCGGCGGGGGCGGGGACCCCGGGGCCGCGGCGAGGCGGCGCTGGGATCTGCCCGGCGAGGCGGCCGGGAACATGTAATGGCGTTTCTCTCTCTCTGCTGTTATCCTGTTTCTCTTGTGGGCGTTGGGGGGTGTTTCGGTGGCTGCGCCTTGCGCTTGTTGGGTTTCTGAGCCGCGTGGTGGATCCGGGTGGTTTGGTGTGTCGATTCTTGGGGGGGTGGTTTCGGTGATTTGCGCGATTTCTCCGGTGAGTTTTGGGTCGGTGGGCGCGGATTAGGGTTTCGCGCGCGTGTGGGGGGTGAAGGCCGCGGCTCTCGAATGGTTCCTCGTCGTGTGATATGTTATAGCTGAAATGTCTGGTTTTCTCTGAACTAGTAGTGCTAGAAATGGCCGGTATTCGTTTGTAGCCTGCGTGGGAGGCATTAACGGGGTAATGAGTTGGCTTCCCTGCAAACAATGGGATAAGGCATTAGCGTGGATCCTTAAATAAATTGTGGAATAGGGGCGTTGACTGATTATTCAAGGTCGTGCACTCGTGTTCTTGTGAAATGGTTGTCCAATGGGCGTGTAGCGATTGCGATAGAGCTCTTTGAATGTTTCTAGTTGTGTTGTTGAACTCAGCCGTGCTTAGTTTTATATTTCAAATGTCACATCCTGGAGATTTTTCAAAATTGTTTTGTAAATAAAGTTTGCTGATTCTAAGCTATGCGCTGTGAAGGATTTATTATTCTGTCTTAGTGGCCATGATGTAAGGGCTCCCGCTAAAAATCTTGTATTGCTTCCCGTGGGTTTTGTATATACGACAAAATATTCAAGATTTTCTGGTATTTATTGCCTGGTGAAGTTTATAATAAATGCACTCTGCAATCTTGAACATCCAAATAAACATTGTCGCGTTGTGCATTGTTTGAAGAAATTGGAACATAACTCTTGTCATGAACGTGACCAAGTTGGAGCTACATTGCATTCATGTTTTAGGAGTTTGCTAGGCTGGCATTTCAGTAAACTTATATATTGCACAAATTCTACAGCAATGAGTTAAATGTGAAGCTTCTAAGTGACAGATTACCAAAATCATCTATAACTTCTTCTGATTTACGCAATAGCTCTTGATTCGAACTTAAGAAACACATGTGTAATCTTTGTTACATGTGGACTTCAGAAATATCAGATGACAACTCTCCATTTTTGTATGATTGTTCTATATTTGTCAGTTGGATTTTAGCATATTGGATTTTTCTGCTTTGTTGTAAGGGTAGTTGCTTGCATGTCATTGATAATGCCTATGCTTATATTAATTAGTTGTTCTTTTCTTAGTTATAAACAATTGATGGGAGCGCTATGTTATAGTCCTGTTTGACTCTATTATTTATTCTATATGATTTGATACGTAAGGCGCTTCAAGGCTCCATCTGATTCTGCTGTACACTTATATTTATATATGTTTTTTTAATAAAAAATGCAGTGCAATGGGGAAAGAAGTTGTTGATATGTCTACTGATGAAGAATCAGATTGTGTAGTTATATGTCCACCTAACGGAAATGCTGATCATGAGGAAGTTGTGAGTGGCAGCCATGATGAAGATTCTTCAGGAAGGCAAGAGAACCCTCATGCTATGAACTCACATATGGACAGCAACAGCCAGGACGATCTGTCTGTAAACCCAGACCTCCTCAAGCCGATTCGTCAGCAGGAGTCTTCTCTCAGCAATTCACCAGCAAAGCCTACAGTAGCTAGACAGCAAGGGTCTAGGCACACTGTCCTTGAGCCATGCACTGTTGCACCTGAAAGAAGGTCATCTGGAGCAGGAAATTGTGCTCCAATTCCTCATCCCATCAGCAATGGGGAAAAACTTTCGGATAAAAGTAGCTCCTCACCAAGAAGCATGGCAAAGAAGGTCTGGTAGTCATCTGTACCCTCCTTTGAACTTTACCCTTTGGGCTTCATCTACTTCTCTTTGTTTGTTAGACAGTCTTCTATTTGCCTTACACTGCCAAATTAACATTTGGACATGAAAGTAGGCAACTTTAGTGACAAACTTTGTACTATTTGTGGATTTGCAGAGTCCATCAGTCACACCCAGGAAGCCTCTCCAATCTGACAATAGTTCTCACAGTCCAGAAGAGGACTCATATTCTGTCACTTCTTCGTATCCTTTCTTCTTTTCAAATATGGATCACGTTGAATTCTCCGATGGATCCTATTGTTCTGTCTGTTTAGTGTCTCCTTTTTTTTTAATATTTTTATGCATATGAACTCCATAAAATTTTGGACGGAACACTTTTCTATGCCTTTATAACTGACTGTTAGTAGAAAAGATTCCTTCATTTGTATTCCCCAATTTCCTGAGCTGTATACAGAACTGTAACTTCAGCAAGAGCTGGAAAAACTAAGAAGACAACTGTTGCTGTTGCACCTACATTCGTCTGTGCTAATCGTGCTGAGAAGAGAGGAGAGGTACACATGCCATTTCGTGGTGCAATATCATGATTGATATTTGGCTTTAAAGAGTCAGTCGAGTAATCAAATCTTTGTTGATTCTTAAGTTTTACACAAAATTAGAAGAGAAGCGCAAGGCTTTGGAAGAGGAGAAACTCCAAGCAGAGGCCAGAAAGAGGGTAAGTCTGCTATGGTTTATTTTATGGTATTGCCTGAATATCAGTGTCTGTTTTGTTTTGTGGCATCATGAAGAGCACCCTTTTTTGCAAAATTACTAGCCCTAATGCATTGGAAACTGTAATTGCAGCTTCTTATAAGCACTGGAATTAGAATTTTGGAGTAACTTTGTTTAACCTACCTTTTTCCTCCACATTTTGTGGTGTAAATATTATGAACTTCACTGAGCTCACTTTTTTTTACATTAATCGTGTCTTGTCTTGGACTTGCTGAAATACTATCTGTTCGAGGTGTTGGAAACGATCAGTACATCAATTTTTGTTATTTCCATATTGCTTGGTTAGTGTGGTAAAATGCAAGAAACAAGACAATTTCAGATATGCTTGAAGCCTTGAAATGAACTTTTCTGAAGGTTTATCCATCTTTTAGTCCATCTTTGTCCAATCAATATGGTTAAATTGGTTAAGCCTTTTCTTGTATAAACACATATACTAAACTTTAAGCTTGTGAAACTATAGTTGTTTCCTATGTACATAAGTTGATTTATCTTTATAATGAATATTTTGTCCCACAAAATCTGATATTTTTATTGGGAAAAACTATAGTGCCTGGTAACTTTAGGTACTGGTATTAGAATTGTTGAGGATGCTTGTATCTGAAGCCCGCTTACTCTTAGTCTATTGTTACTGCACATAGACCTCACTTGATTGCGTTAACTATGCTTCTGCCGTGTCACTCATATATGCATATTTGATGCCTCTTGTAAACACCATTATACTTTCACGTTTTTATCAATAGTCTAACTTATGAAAATCTTTGTTATCTGCCCACCAAGACGACGAAACTCCTTACCAAGCCTGCTTTATGATCCTCTTTTTGATTAATCGTTTTGGGTTAATTAAAATTGCCATTATTTCTCTTTCTTGTCCTTTTCTTTTTTCTAGGAAGAGGAAGAAGAAGCTCTAAGACAATTGAGGAAGAACTTGGTCGTCCGAGCAAAACCCATGCCAAGCTTCTACCAAGAGGGACCCCCACCAAAGGTTGAACTTAAGAAGGTAATGTATTTTGTGTTGTCTGCTATGTTATTTTAATCAATTAATTTTTTTTTTTTTGCATTGTTCAGTTGGTATTTGCCTACCCCAACTTGTTTGGGACTTAAAGGCTTTGTTGTTGTTGTTGTTGTTGTTGTTGTTGTTGTTGTATTGTTCAGTTGGTATTTAGAAGGGCGGGCCTGGTGCAAGTGGTAGAGTCTTACCACCTGTGACCGGAAGGTCCTGGGTTCGAGTCGCGGTCTCCTCGCATTGCACAGGCGAGGGTAAGGCTTGCCACTGACACCCTTCCCCAGACCCCGCACAGAGCGGGAGCTCTCTGCACTGGGTACGCCCTTTGTTCAGTTGGTATTTACATTCTGAAGGAAATCTCTAGGTCTTCAATTAGTTCCATAAGTTATTCTGCCAATCAATTCCTTAGATTTTCTTCATAATTTCATATTCATTGCTCTGGTGTTGTTCCATCATCTTTATTAGCTCCAGTTTTGTGTTTTCACTTTATATATTGCTTTTCTTTGGGTGCCAAGACGCTAAAGTCAAGGTTAGGGGGATCCTTATCCAATTTTGTTCCTTTGTGTTCCTGATTCTTTATATACCTCAATACCTCACATTAACATATAGTATCTTGATGAAACAACATGATTCCTTGGTTTCCAAATGCATGACATTGTTGTCCTTGTGTCTGGCCATAATTGAAAATTTCAATTTTCTGGACACATAATTGTCTCTTTTCATTTGATTCTCGCAAAACAAATGATTGCTGTTTTCCTCATCGACTTGGTCAGCAGAAATGTTAAATTTTTCTCACTGAACAAACTTGTAATGTTCCTACTCCAATACTGATATAAATCACCAAAATGAGCATAAGTTGTATTTACAATCAGTTTAAAAATATGTCTTCTTACATTAATTTATACTTGTAACTTGTTGATTAAATTAATGGAAAGCTGTATAAGCTTGCCTGCTTTTAGCACGTACTAGTGTGAGCCGTCATTTTTTTGCCTTTTCTTTTGCAGGTGCCTCCAACTCGTGCCAAGTCACCAAAATTGACACGGAGAAAGAGCTGCAGTGACACCCCTCATACACCAGAGGGAGGAAATGGCAGTGCAGTATGCTGCCGGTTGCATCGTCACAGCATTGGGAACTCCAAAGATGTTAGCAGCAAGGCACAATGTTCTGCAAAGAGTGCTTCAAAGACAGGATCAGCTACTAAATCCAGGGTCACCAAATCCAGGGAAGACCTGAAGGCTTCCATGAAGAAAGTGGGACAGCCAAGCGCCGCAAACTTTGCTGTACAAACCTAACTCATGAGGCATTCACTCCCATGCCATTTTTCATTTTAATTTATACCTCACATCACCAAAAAGATGGCCTCATGCCCCGACAATAGTGTGTTTGTTGCTGGATTATTTTTCCATTGTCCTTGTAAGAACCTGGCTACCAGAGACCATGCGCTGTTCTGCCTTGTAAATTTGTTGAAGTTTTGTATGGGGTAACCGAGTCAGTCCTGTGAGAACCAAGCGGGCAGCTAGATGAGCAGTTGGCTGTTGGAGTGACATTGTCATTGTGTGGTGGCATTCACAGATCCTATGTATTGTATCTGAGCTGTAACTTATTGTGGGCATTGGCAAAGCGTTTTTGATTGTTGTTGCAAAATTTGATCAGGTCATGTTTCAATCAGGTATCCATATCCTTATGAATTGAAAACTGGGCTGTTTTTTTTTCCCTATCTGAAACTTGAAACAGTAAAACGTGTTAAAGGATCAGTACTTGCAGTGACTTTCTGAAAAGCACACAGGGGCTTCATCGGTCTTGTAAATGTAAAGATGACTACTTTGTTGAAGGACACTACGATATCTGCAGGTGTCAAAGGAAGCTTGCAAGTCACTCGAACTGGTATAATAAGTCTGGCTTATCAACCATGATACAGTATTTTTCTCTTCTAACAAATCAGCATAAGCGGCTTATGGACCAGCTGAACAGAGCCTAAGCTGTACAAGAACATTGAACTTGGAAACACAAGTTTTCAACGCAAAAAAAAAAGGCGTGATTTCCGCACCTGATGTAGGTAGTGACCCAAGCTGCCATATTTTCTCCCATGTGAGCTATTCGAGAAGCCATGCGAATGGCTTACCATGCATGCGCTCACTTTGGAGTTGGTATAACTGATGCTAGTACTAGTGTTACATGCCAGAAACCACGGGGCGATGCGTCTAAAAATGCTCCATGTAGAGTGCGGTATGGAGGAAAGCCACACCAAAAAAGAGCAGAACAAGTTTCAAAAAAAAAAAAGAGCAGAACAAGGAGAACTCTGAAAGTGGAGTACATTGCTAGAATAAATCATCACGGCAAAAAAAATTCTTTCCAAAAAAAAGGCACCAAAATTAGTTTACAATAGCTTGATGTCAGTAAATTCTTTCCAAAAAAAAGGCACCAAAAAATTCTTTCCAAAAAAAAGGCATTCTGAGCAGCACTACTGGGAGTAAATTCCTAGTAACTGCGGATAGATTAGTTTACAATAGCTTGATGTCAGTAAAAGTGATCTTACTCGGTTCCAAGAATATCAAAGCAAGCCAAGGAAAGCATATCAAAGGAGCAAGTAAATTAAAAACGAACGAAGGAAATAGTTACCGACAACTCAGAGACAGCAAGCCACTGTATACTCTCTGATTTATGAGCCACACAGCACTTTCGATTATGTTTTTCTAAATATTTATTTATGGATGAAATATTGTTAGTCATTCATACGGCCTGTGGTCGATTTAACTTCTATTTTGAATTGAGCATAAAAACGAGAGTGAGTGTTTTGCAGGATGTGATTAGCTATGTCAACATGAGAAGCAGCATAAAGTTGAGGACTGCTTTAAGTGAAGCCTAAACTTCCATTGTCGTAATAAACGAAATATTAATCTATATATAATATTAGAAGACAGTCAAATGTTTTACATTTCATCATGATGGCTTCTATCTCATTTTCTTCTCCCGTTCATTTTGAGCTTCTTGTTCAAATTTTAGCCTCCTCTCGGTTGTCAATCTATTAGACCTGAGTATTTTTTGGGCCGGGCTGAAAAAATCCAAGTTATTTTGGGCTTAAAAAAGCCTGTCCATGACCATCCCATGGACGAGTCGGGTCAGCATTTTCCGGGCTGGGCCCGGGCTTGAGCAGGTTGCTCGTTGTTTTTTAGTTGAAAAGTAATACTTCGGCTGGACTTGGGTCAAGAAAATTTTTCTGGACAATTGGACCTCTGTCCAGCTCCTGTCCTCTAAGGCTCATGGACAGTCTAAAACTCGGTGAGCTCAGACTAAAGATGTCAACGGGGACCCGATTCCTAATTCTCCACGGTTAGGGATGAAAACGGATCGGATACGAACGGATATCACTCATATTATATTTGTTTTCATATTTCTGTTCGGATTCGGATTCGGACACGGATAGCGTTCGGATACATATACGAATACAGATTGACTCAGTTACGGATACGAATAATGAGTATCGAATACGGTATGACTCGAATTCGGAGAAGGTCGGATACAAATATCTATTCGGATATTGAGTAAAAGCAGCATATATATATATATATATATATATATATATATATATATATATATATATATATATATATATATATATATATATCATACGTGCGCAAACCATTACACCACTCTATGAGTCCATAATCCATCTAGATTAAGTCGAAAGACTAAAGAGTAAAGCAACAAATAAGATAAAGATACAGATACATCATACATCAAACATCATACAAGCACCAATCTTCGCGGCATGAGTAGAAATAGCCAAGATCATGGCTTCATGGGTCTCATGGAGTCATGGTCATGGATTCAAGATCTACAATCCTTATATAGGCCATTTTTTTCATTTGAGAAAGTTTGAACAAAATGTAGTTCAAATTTCACAAGTGTGTGACATAGTTTTAGAAAGTCTATATGAGATTCAAGAATTTGTGACTAGTGTTTGATAAAAATTTCTCAAATGGGAAAATAAGCTATGTAACAATTGTATATCTTGCTGAGATGATCAAACTTGGTATTCAGAGTTTTTTCATCTGAGGTCATTTAGTGTCTCATTTGAGCAAGTTTGACCAAGTCAAATTTGGTCAAACGAAAAAACAACACTTTGACTCTAGTATTATGAACTCTAAATGACTTCAAATTGAAAAGTTTTGAATACCAAGTTTGTTCAACTCATCAAGATCTACAATTCTTGTTTTGGTCAACTTTCCATTTGAGATAGTTTGGATGGTTTAAATTTGTGATTTTTAAATTTCGACGTTTACAAACTAGTTTTCGAAACCCTAGATTGTCTCAAATTGAAAAGTTTTGAATACCAAATTTGTTCATCTCATCAATATATACAATCCTTATATAAGCCATTTTTCATTTGAGAAAGTTTGAACAAAATATAGTTCAAATTTCACAAGTGTGTGACATAGTTTCAGAAAGTCTATATGAGATTCAAGAATTTGTGACTAGTATTTGATAAAACTTTCTCAAATGGGAAAATGAGCTATGTAACAATTGTAGATCTTGCTGAGATGATCAAACTTGGTATTCAGAGTTTTTTCATCTGAGGTCATTTAGTGTCTCATTTGAGCAGGTCAAATTTGGTCAAATGAAAAAACAACACTTTGACTCTAGTATTATGAACTCTAAATGACTTCAAATTGAAAAGTTTTGAATACCAAGTTTGTTCAACTCATCAAGATCTACAATTATTGTTTTGGTCAACTTTCCATTTGAGATAGTTTGGATGGTTCAAATTTGTGATTTTTAAATTTTGACGCCTATAAACTAGTTTTCCATTTGAGAAAGTTTGGACGGTTTAAATTTTGAAGCACTAAATGATTTCAAATGAAAAAGTTGTAAACAACAAAGTTTCATAACTTTTTGAGATCTACAATTTTTATTTTGATCATTTCTCCATCCAAGGTCGTTTGAATAATATCCGGATAATATCCGTTTGAAAATATCCGGATATATCCGATACTTAACCGGATTATCCGATATCCGCCGGATATCGATGATATTACATCCGTATTTGATATCCACCTAAGATATCCGTTTCATTATCCGTATCCGAAAAAATTACGGATATCCGAGTAACTATCCAGATAAGTGTTTATATTTGTTCGGTCGAACGGACGATCGAATAAATATCCATACCGTTTTCATCCATACCCGCGGTGAATTCTTCCATTAGGGGACGGGAATGGAGGAGAATTAATCCCCACGGGGAAGGATTTGGTAGGATGGCTGTCCCCGTCGGGGATGCCGGGAACGGGGATGGTTGCCTAGTCCCCGACCCTGATCCCCACCAACCCGCCCCGCGAAGCACGCATCAGGCAGCCTAGGTGCCAGCCCATGTAAAGGCCCAATAAGTCGTGGAGGTATATAACGTGCCATCCAACCCTAATTCCTCAATCCCCATTCGGTCACTCACTCCCGTCCTCGGTAGCCCCAGCCACACAGCAGCGCATGCCGCCGCTTCTCGCTCTCGCCGCTTTCGCCTCCGGCCCTGACGCCGCCAATCTCCTCCCGCTCCCAAGGCCGAAGCGTCCTCCCTCTACCTCTCCCCCACAAGCGTAGTGCGGCGCGGTGTGGTGCCGCGCCATGCAAGGCCGTGGCCTTGGCCACCAGAGGAGCGGTGGAGACGGATCCGCCACCACCGACATCGGCGGCGGCGGATCTTGCTCCACCGACCGCCATCGCCGCAGGCCGCCACCGCTTTGAAGCCGTTGACCGACCCGACACCGACGACGCCATGCGCGGCGGCGTCGCGGCAAGCCCTAGCGGCGCCTCTCCCTCTCCCCCACAATGCGGCGGCGCCTCGATTCTTGTGACGCAGCAATGTTAGCCAAGATCGATACCGGCCCGGCGCCCGTGCAAAGACGGGACGCGGTCGCCGTCACCGACGCCGCGACCAGCCATGTGCTGCTCGGCCGCCGCGAGAGCGAGTCCACGGGCCCTTCTCCTCCCGCCCTCCTGCTGCTCCTTCACTTCACCGCCCCAGCGCGCGCAGCTTGGTCCACACGACGCTGCTGCGAGTTCCATGACGACAACCAGGCGCCGAAACAGTCACGGTCATGTGCCGTGGGGACAAGTGGGGGTCCAGGGACGGCGAGGTGGTCGTCAGCGTCGACGGCAAGAAGGGATGCGGGGATGGGGATCCCTGCGGGGATTAAATCCCTGAGCGGGGACGAGGATGGGGAAGAAGTGCTCCCCGCGAGCCTTCACAGGGATGGGGATGTGAGAAATTTGCCCCCGCGGAGACGGGGATGGGGCAGTAACCCCGACGGGGAATTCCCTGTTGACATTTCGAGCTCAGACCGAGCTCAATTTGCTCATGTCTCCTGTCCTCTATATGTATACAACCTCAAATTATTTGGCGCTCAAACTAATTTTCTTTTGTAAAGAGAAGAAACACCAGAGTTACTCGGTCAAACACTAGAGAAGACGACATGCCAACATGCTCAAATCTCCACTCCCAAAGCCCCAAGCACGTGATCAGTCCTCTCCTCTAGCTCAGTTGCTCACGCGAATCACGCCCACCGTCAACCCGAGCCCACGCGCAGGCGCAGCGTTCCCCATTCCCAATCTCCCGCACCACCAGTACAGAGCGCGCCGCCGCCGCCGCTCTGTGCCTGTGCCGACCGTCCCCATCCCCAGCGCGAGCGAGCTGCGAGCTGCATTTCCCGGCGAATCGGAGGCGTGAGGTTTGGATCGCACGGGCGGCGACGACCATGTCGAGCCGGGCGCCCCCCCGCTTGGTTGAAGAAGCTGAAGCGAATCATTGGACGGCGCATCCGCTCGGGAAGTCTCAGCGCTGAGGCCGCGCGCCAACTCTGCGACGAGGTGCTCCCATCGATCCAAAGACGTCCCCACAGCCGGCCGTTTCAGCAGCCGCGCGCCGGTGGAGGGCCGACCACCGCCCTTCCTGGGAGCTGGAGCGCTTCATCGGGAGTGTTTCCGCTCGGGAGACCTCGGCCCCGAGGATGCACTCGATCTGTTCGACGAGTTGCTTCCCCAAGCCAGGCCCGGCTCCGTTTATGCCCTCAACCAGCTTCCCACCACCGTCGCTAGCGCCCCGGTCTCCTCCACCGTTCGCGACGGCCCTGCGCTCGCCATGTCCCTGTTCAATCGCATAGCCCGAGCGGGCGTCAAGAAGGTGGCTCCAAGCATAGTTACCTACACAATCGTCATCAGCTGCTGCTGCGATGCAGGATGCTTGAACCTCGGCTTCGCCGCATTGGGCCAAATCATCAAGACGAGATTGAGGCCACAAGCCAGGACCTTCACGCCTCTGCTCAGGACCCTCTGCGCCGAGAAGAGGACGCGTGATGCAATGAATATTGTGCTCCGACGGATGCCTGAGCTCTGCTGCACCCCCGATGTCTTCTCCTACAACACTCTTCTCGTTGGGCTTTGTGCTGAGAAGAAATGTGAAGAGGCTGTCGAGCTGATCCACATGATGGCTGAGGATGGAGGTGGCTGCCGACCTGATGTGGTGTCTTAAAACACCGTAATCCATGGCTTCTTTAAAGAGGGTGAGGTGGGGAAAGCTTACACTCTGTTTCGTGAAATGCTTGATCGTGGAATCCCGCCAAATGTGGTGACTTGCAGCTCAATCATTGATGGCCTATGCAAGGTTCAAGCAATGGACAAGGCCGAGGAGTTCCTTCAACAGATGTTTGACAAACATATTATGCCTAATTGCACTACATATACTAGTCTTCTCCATGGTTACCTCTCTTTGGGACAGTGGAAAGAGGCAGTCAGAATTCCCAAAGAAATGTCCAGATATGGGCAAAGACCAAATGTTGTTACTTACAATATGCTGATTGACTGTCTTTGTAAATCTGGAGGGTGCGTAGAAGGTAGAGAGATTTTTAGTTCTATGATTTAGAGCGGTGAAAACCCCAATGTCGCCACTTATAGAATTCTTCTCCATGGGTATGCTACCAAAGGAAATCTTGTTGAAATGAATAATATCATGGATTTGATGGTACAAAACGGAATGCAACCTGATCATCGTATCTTCAACATACAGATCTATGCATACAATAAATATGGAATGGCTGATAAGGTGAAAGGTCCTAATATGGCTAGAGAGGGTTGAATAGCCTATTTAAAAATCTACAAGATCACTAGAGCAATTTGATTAGTACGACAAATAGCGAAATACAAAGCGTACAAGACATGGGCCGCACCATCAGAGTTGGCCCAGCCCACAAGATCAAAGTGTACACGGCACTGGTCGATGTACACCGCAAGATATTGTATAGTACTAAATAGGATACTTTTCTTGTAACCCTACATCTCTAGAGTATATAAGGAGAGGCAGGAGTCCTCTAGTCTCCATAGACATAGATCTCATATTCAATACAATACACCAAGACACCGGACGTAGGGTATTACGTCGATCAGACAGCCCAAACCTGTCTAAATCGTTGTCTCTGTGTCTTGTGTCACCATCCGGTTTCTGATCACGCGCATCTCCACCGATCAATCTACCTTCGTGGGATACCCCTCGGAGGACTGCCGAGCATCTTTTATCGACAGTTGACACCCACCGTGGGGCCGTGCGTTCTAATCCATGACAAACCAGATGGCGTACCTCAAGATCTACGTCGTTTGTGATCACTCGGCTGATCGAGGCAACATCACGACGCCACTCATGGCGGGGTGTCATGGCGGCCCTGTGCTTTCTCCATAGCATGGGACAGCCCGATAGATCGGACTTGGCCGTGACACACTTCGAAGCCGTCACCCAGGAGGAGGCGTACACATCCAGCATGCATTCGTGAAGGGCCACGCGATCCGGATATTGATATATCTACATCTGCATGCACGCATGCACGTAGAATTCATCTACATCTTGATCTCAATTCCGACACAAGCGTCGATCTCGTCACCGTCGTCCTGCGGCAACCCGGCGTTAGAGGACCCGGTCGTCTACTCGTCACTTGCCAATGCCATCGGTGGCTCCCAAGAATCCGGTCACGATGCACCTGCCATGCACGTCTAGCCACGAAGAAGGAAAGAGTACTATATTAAAGGCATGAAAGCTAATTAAGGCTTGTACGCGTATATGCATATACGTACACCTTAAGCAGGCAAGCACGAGTTCCCTTCCTTGTTGTCGTACGTATACCTTCAGGATCCGACCTCGACGCCGCTCAAGTCCTACGTCATTAATCTCTCCGAATCTGATCTGACTAAGGTCGACAAGTAATATAAGGACGACATCGCTTAGACTATTTACTCCGACCACCCACCGCGTCGCAATAATGATCGCCGTGAAGAACGGCGCCGTGACAACTGCGACCGCCGCCATGACAACAGTTCGGAAAGCTCGAGCGTCGGACAATTTCGTCAACGCCGACCAGATAACACCATACGCCGTCGACCAGACGTTCTGTCTAAAAGCTAAGTCACGCTTTAATATTCTTCTAAATATTCTTCAACCTCCATATATCGCCGTAATATTTCTCCGAACTATTTTCTCCATGTTTGCTCTCCGAACGATTTTCTTTCATGTATACCATCTTAAAGATGACATACAGCTAAGCCTAAGGCGAACCCCCGAACAGTCATATTGACGCTCGAATGTCCTCAGAGACGGCCCTGTCTCCGGCTCCTCCCTATATGTGCACGAGCGTCTGCCCTCTGCGTTATGGGTGGTCGGCAGCGGTTCCTTAGCGACGCTTTGTTCTTTCTACACGCATACGGGCTCCGTGCTCCGCGTTATGATTAACGGGCTAGATATGGCTGGAGACTCAGCTACACACTAACTGATCGGGCGGTTTATATTAAATATAAATACATCTTCATACCAACTGATCGTCGAGCTGCGTACGTTATTTCATCACCATTGCTGATTCTTCTCCGGAGTTCATATAACATCATGTACTTTCCGTTCTACATATTTGTATTGCAGGATCATCGTCTAAGTAATCGGACCACCTGGTGCTCGGACTTCACCAATCAACTGGTCGGACCGCTAAGTTCATGGACTTCGTTGCCGATCAGTTGATCGGGCTATTCGTCGGACGTTTCTACTCAATGCTCACTTCGCCGCCGACCAGTTGATTGGACTGTTCGTCGCTCGTGCTTCATCGCCAGCTACGCCGGGGACTCCTCGGTGCTCGGTCATCGCCAGCTACGCCGGGGACTCCTCGGTGCTCAGACATCGCCATCTATGCCGGGGACTCCTCGGTGCTCGGACATCGCCAGCTACGCGGGGGACTCCTCGGTGCTCGGATCTTGCTACGTCTCATCAGTGTGCTATCAAGCTGCTCCATGTTGTTCGGATCAGGATGCTGATCCTGGGCAGCACGTCTAGGGTCTTGATACGCGCATGTCAGACGACGTCGGCAAGCTTTCAGACTTCTTTTTCTTTAACCCTGCTACAAGATTCATTCTTCATCTTCCAGCAGGCTCGGGGACTAAGTGGGCACATTTCACCTTGCGGTGAATGTGCGCTTTTCAATTCAGGGCTCCGACCGTGGACTGGTTGCCTGCTTGGCCAGTCTTCTGCCTTTCTTCTACTTTCTGACCCTAGCACCACGTGACTACGTCACCTACTGTCAGGCTCGGGGACTAGCTGTGGGGGTATGGCCCCCAGTATCCACAAGACAAGACATGGGTCGTATCATCAGAGTTGGCCCAGTCCACAAGATCAAGGCGTGCACGGCACTAGTCGACGTGCACCGTAAGATATTGTATAGTATCAAATAGGATACTTTTCTTATAACCCTACCCCTCCAGAGTATATAAGGAGAGGTAGGAGTCCTCTAGTCGCCATAGACATACATCTCATATTCAATACAATACACCAAAGACACAGGACGTAGGGTATTACGTCGATCAGACGGCCCGAACCTGTCTAAATCGTTGTCTCTACGCCTTGTGTTACCATCCGGTTTTTGATCACGCACCTCCACCGATCAATCTACCTTCGTGAGATACTCCTCGAAGGACTGCCGAGCATCTTTTGTCGACACTATTTGATACCTTTGCCTCAATCATCTCGGTTTTTGTTTTTCTCTTTCTTCTTTTCCAAGTTGACCTTGATCATCTTCAACACATGTCCATCTCCATCTCCATGGACTTCATCACCATGCTCCATCACTTGGTATGTACCAACCTTACTCACATGACACTCATGACAAAGGTTAGTACTTAGGTTTCATCAATTAGCCAAAATCAAACTAGGGCTTTCAATCTCCCCCTTTTTATAATTGATGACAACCTTTTCACAAAGATATACAATAAAATCTTTTTGGATTCATGTTGCTTGTCCAAGCATTTTACCTGTGTAAAGGATATGAACAAGTTTCATAAATCTGAATTGGTAGCATTAGTTGCCCTACACATGTGCTAAGGGTTTGGATTTGAAAGCTTGCACATATGTATAGTTAGAAAGTGTGGGAAAGTAATGACTACCAAATGATGCTAAGGTGTAAAGAATGGATCTTTAAAGCGTGATACCAATCGGAGTTGCCATTTAAACACCATCCTTAGCACAAAAAATTGTTAGATATCATTTGAAAAGCAAAGACAAACTAGATACCTCGTGAGATCAACATTAGAAGCAAGGTTCTATTGCCACTTGTAAAAAGATCAAGGCAAATACTTTTTTTTTTCATTGTTCAATTGGTATTTACATTCTGAAGCAAATCTCTAGGTCTTCAATTAGTCCATAAGTTATTCTGCTGCACCAATTCCTTAGATTTTTTTTCATAATTTATATTCATTGCTCCGGTGTTGTTCCATCATCTTTGTAGCTCCAGTTTTGTGCTTTTACTATTTATATTGCTTTTCTTTGGGTGCCAAGACACTAAAGTCAAGGTTAGGGGGATCCTTATCCAATTTTGTTCCTTTGTGTTCCTGATTCTTTTAGATACCTCACATTAACATATAGTATCTTGATATTTTTGTGCAAGGAAAATATGCTTGAAACAACATGATTCCTTGGTTTCCAAATGCATGACATTATTGTCCTTGTGTCTGGCAATAATTTGAAATTTCAATTTTCTGGCATTTGATTCTCACAAAACAAATGATTGCTGTTTTCATCATCGACTTGGTCAGCAGAAATGTAAATTTTTTCTCACTGAACAAACTTATAATGTTCCTACTCCAATACTGATATAAATCACCAAAATGAGCATAAGTTGTATATACACCAGAGGGAGGAAATGGCAGTGCAGTATGCTGCCGGTTGCATCGTCACAGCATTGGAAACTCCAAAGATGTTAGCAGCAAGGCACAATGTTCTCCAAAGAGTGCTTCAAAGACAGGATCAGCTACTAAATCCAGGGTCACCAAATCTAGGGAAGACCTGAAGGCTTCCATGAAGAAAGTGGGACAGCCAAGCGCCGCAAACTTTGCTGTACAAACCTAACTCATGAGGCATTCACTCCCATTGCCATTTTTCATTTTAATTTATACCTCACATCACCAAAAAATGGCCTCATGCCCCGACAATAGTGTGTTTGTTGCTGGATTATT